TCGCCGGTGCCATGCAGAACTCCTGCAGACTGCATTGCACCAGCAGATCGCCAGTGCCATGCAGAATTCCTGGAGACTGTCAGTGTATCTGTCTGCTCATACAACGTATGGGTAAGGAGATACACACTGACAGGAAGAATCAATGAACTCCCAGAGCACTCAACAGCGCCGTGGTAGTTCATTGAGAACTACAAGCCGACAGCCGCAGAGGAGGTGGGGACTTGTAATCTTCCCATTGACAGCATACTGTGAATGAGTGATGTAGGCGGGCAGGTGGGTGGAGCCCTGCACAGACACTTTTTTTTTAAATTGTGACAGCTAGTGTTGGAAGGGGAGGGGGCTGTCACATTGGGGGAGTGGGGGCCAGTCCTTCAATAACATGTTAAACCCTGAATATGGGTGTTATATGTATATATGTTTACAAAAGGTGAACTTATCCTTTAAGATGTATGAAAACCCTAATAATGAACTTCTCCTATTTGCTCCTTTTTAATTTGTCAAATATACAATTGTAAGTGTTTTGTTATATCTGTTTGATAATATCACTTGATCCTGGAAATATTCAAGGTTGTCCTGTGCATATACTTCCTCTGTTATCTTAAAGTGTACTACTAAACCCCGGACCCTGCATTCACTATATCTGGTCTCCCCGGACCCTGCATTCACTATATCTGGTCTCCCCGGACCCTGCATTCACTATATCTGGTCTCCCCGGACCCTGCATTCACTATATGCGGTCTCCCCGGACTTCCCGGTCTCCCCGGACCCTGCATTCACTATATCCGGTCTCCCCGGACCCTGCATTCACTATATCCGCTCTCCCCGGACCCTGCATTCACTATATCTGGTCTCCCCGGACCCTGCATTCCGGTCCTGACCCATTCACTATATCTGGTCTCCCCGGACCCTGCATTCACTATATCCGCTCTCCCCGGACCCTGCATTCACTATATCTGGTCTCCACCGGAGCCTGCATTCACTATATCTGGTCTCCCCGGACCGTGCATTCACTATATCTGGTCTCCCACAGTACACAGAACATAGAGATGTAATTATTGTAGTAATTACAATGCAGTTAACATGAACCAGTGCTGACAGAGTGGGGCGGGGAGGAAGGGTTAAATAAAGATGCCGTGTAGGTGTCTGATGTTCTCCTTATCAACCAATGATGTCAGCGATTTGTTAGAATGCTGGTGACTGGCCTGCACAGTTAATTAAAAACGATGGCTTTGTGTAACAAAAAACAGGCTTAATCTACCCACTGGGTTGTACACAATTTTGGGGGAGTTTTTAGGCATTTTCAAAGGCACCCTTGAAGAACCCAAAAGGCACCCTGGTTGAAAAAGGCTGGGGTAGAGCATGGGTGCTGAGCAACTTAAGATGGAGTGCCGACTTTAAAGTGGAACAAAACCCATTAATGTAACGGTTTTCCAGAACTGTTGTATTCAAATCATGCCATGAATGACAGCTCTCAACCGAACGAACTGACAAGCCATAAATTGTCTGGTGTCATAAATTATCAAAATTAATAACCAAGTTACACTTCCCAGTGTTAATGAGCAGGTGGAAACTCAGCTCCTTGCACAGATCGAAAGGGCTGGGACAGTGATAATAATGGGGGATTTTAACTACCCGGAAATTGACTGGAGTAATGGTACTGCAGGAACAGTTAAAGGGCAAACATTTATAAACCTACTACAGGACAATTTTATGGTCCAGTTCATAGAGGCCCCTACTAGGAACGATGCTCTACTGGACCTGGTAATCTCAAACCATACAGAGCTTATTACTAATGTCCATATAAAAGAACATCTGGGTAGCAGTGACCATTACATGTTTTAATTTATTGTTAGCTGTAAACAGCAAGCACATACGGGAAAAATAAAAAGGATCAATTTCAAGAGAGCTAATTTTTCAAGGCTGAGAGCTGCTCTCCAAGCCTTAGACTGGGAGGGAATATTGGCATTAATGAACACAACACAGAAATGGGAGTTCTTCAAAGACTGTATGTGAACACACTGCAAGATATATTCCCATGGGCAACACGGTTAAAGGGCTAAAAATCAAATCTATGTGGCTTACGGCCAAAGTTAAAAAGGCTATAGATAATAAGAAAAGAGCTTTTAATAAATATAAAAATGGTATACTTGGATTTTGCAAAAGCGTTTGACACACACGGCTAATGTGTAAGGTAAAGTCTACAGGCTTCGAAAAATCTGAATGTAAATGGATAGAAAACTGGCTAAAAGATCGTATTCAAAGAGTAGTGGTTAATGATTCATACTCTGAATGGTCTAGGGGTGTCAGTGGTGTACCCCAAGGTTCAGTGTTGGGACCCGTACTTTTTAATATATTTATAAACAATATAGGGTCTGGGATTATAAATCCCATTTCAGTCTTTGCAGATGACACCAAGCTGTGCAGTGGAATAACGTCCTTACAGGATGTCTCCAACTTACAAGCCGACCTCAATGCACTGTTTAATTGGGCAACTATGTGGCAAATGAGGTTTAATGTTGATAAATGTAAGGTTCTGCACTTGGGGGCTAAGAATATGCATGCATCATACATACTAGGGGGGGTACAACTGGGGGAATCAATGGTGGAGAAGGATCTGGGAGTTCTGGTAGATCACAAGCCTAATAATGGCATGCAATGCCAAGCTACAGTTTCTAAAGCGAGCAAAATCCTCTCTTGTATTAAAAGAGATATAGACTCCAGAGAGAGAGATATCATATTACCCCGGTACTAATCATTAGTAAGACCTCATCTGGAATATGCAGTTCAGTTTTGGGCATCAATTCACAAAAAGAACATTGGGGAACTAGAGAAAGTACAGAGAAGGGCAACCAAACTGATAAGAGGCATGGAGGAGATCAGCTATGAGGAAAGATTAGAGGAACTGAATTTATTCTCTCTTGAGAAGAGGAGATTAATAAGGGGGGGGATATGATCTCCATGTATAATACATAAGGGGGGATATGATCTCCATGTATAATACATAAGGGGGATATGATCAACATGTATAATACATAAGGGGGGATATGATCTCCATGTATAATACATAAGGGGGGATATGATCTCCATGCATAATACATAAGGGGGGATATGATCACCATGTATAATACATAAGGGGGGATATGATCTCCATGTATAATACATAAGGGGGGATATGATCATATGATCTCCATGTATAATACCATGTATAATACATAAGGGGGGGTATGATCACCATGTATAATACATAAGGGGGGATATGATCTCCATGTATAATACATAAGGGGGAGGGATATGATCTCCATGTATAATACATAAGGGGGGGATATGATCTCCATGTATAATACATAAGGGGGATATGATATATGATCTCCATGTATAATACATAAGGGGGGATATGATCTCCATGTATAATACATAAGGGGGGTGTCCTGCCTTCTCTGCAGTTATGAAAGGGTTACAGAGGATTACAGGCAGTATAACCTTTGATGTCCACACAGTAAAGAGTCGATGATTGATAACCGCTGATCTTTTACTGATAACATGTGACATAATGAGAATGAATGAATGTGAATGCGCGTGAATAAATGGTAAAACTGAAATACAAACAGAATAAACAGACATGAGTACATATCTAACTACCTAGCTATATACATAACATTCCTCAGTACATAGGAGGGGTACTTACAGACTTTGGGGGTCTAATCAAGCCCATATATGAAGAGGGAACAGCATCCCACATGTACTTGCATTGTAGAATTTCTTCAGTCTGAAGAGATGAGGTCACTTCCTCCCAAGTTAGCAAACAAGACAATGCAGTAGAAAAATGGACCAGTGGGTGAGACCCTACTAGAAAAGAAGTCCTCAAAAGAACATACTGCGGCTTAAAACAAAGTGTTTATTAACATTGTAATGACCGTAGGCAGCGCATTTAGACTTAAAGCGGTGCTGCAGTCAAAAGGGGAAGATTTGAGGCTTTATCCCCTGTTCCCCGTTTAAGGATTGGCACCTTTGGGGATGGGGGGGGGATATCCAAATTTGACAGGTACCCACTCCTGCTTCTGCTGCAATCACCTAGGCTGATTTCTAAAAGTCAGCAGCTACAGTTTTTGTGGCTGCTGACTTTTATTTTTTTTTTGTTTTGACCAGACCTCCACTTTAAGTGATGAAGTCACATGACAAAGTGACGCAACGCGTTGGTACGCAACTTCCGGTGACGTGGTGACACACTTCCGGGTGTGGGGGCCATTTTGGTACACCCAACAAACCCATGCAGTACATCCTTATACATGAGGTTTAGAAGCTTTGTATCTTTGAAAAAAATGTGAGTAAGCAATTTGTTTTTATGTCATTTACTGAGTAACAAACATTATTGCACCATGGAGGATCTTTTTTCTGTCTTATTAATATGATCATGAGTGGGGAGTGAGCTGTATTGCGGTACCTGTGCCAGGAGGAACCTGAGAGGAGTAAGGGGTGTTACTGAAGGGAGCTTATGTGGCGTTTTTGTCCTTGACAAGATAACATCCATAAGGATCAAGGGGTGATCCTAAAATGTGAGCTGGCCCTTGTGGTCACGTTTCAGAGATGAGGGGACATTTCGGCTATTTGAGGATTTTTTCACCAGAGTGGAGATCATTTATTTCACCTCATCACCTGCATGAATTATTTGTAGATCACAGCTATATGTTTAGTTTTTTTGTGTATTGGACATTATTTGTGAGTGTTTTATGTTTGAGATTATTTATATGAGGTTGATTTAAGTGAAGGTCTTTTGTTATTTAATATAATTGGCACTGATAGCTATTATTGTTTTTCCCCAGAAGGGGTTTCACTTGTTACACTATTTGAAAAGTCCCATTATTGGGACAGGAGGGTGGGGTATATATATTTTATATAATTTGAGTCACTTTTTAAGTGTGTACTTAAACAGGTTTTCCTGTTATTTTCAACAGTTTTTCACGTGTTTATTCACAATTGGATCCGGATTGGATCAGAACACAGTTTGTGGATAATTATATTATACTGTTGAGATTTGTCATTTATTTTATTGTTTAGCGCTTCACCATTTTTTTCATATTGATTTGCACTTACCAATTGGGTCAGGTTGGGTGAGAGCAGCTTTGATTTAGGGGTATCCATATAAGCGCAAG